GTGAGATCTGCTTTGCCTCTTTCAAAGGTACCTGTGATCATAACATAAGCCTCCCTACCTTGGATTCTCAGTCTATGCTAGGATGAACAATCTTGACTGTTGAAGATATGATGGGGAGAGCTGGTGCAGGAAACCAAACACTTGGATGATTGATAGATCCCTGATCCATGGTCACAGAGTGGTAAGGTACTTGTAGTAGCTCTATTACTGGTTCTGTGCTCCTCTATGGTTACCATTGCAGTTTGCCTCCCTGTCCAGAGAGGTTCAGAACTGCCCTATAGATCATCATGTTAAGCAAGTTTGCATTTGTCTTTATAGTTTCATGTAATTGTAAAACAGATCCTATTGGTGAATGGTATCTAACAATGACATCTACAATTTCTCCTAAACAATTGATGATAACACTTACAAGAGCTGGAATTGCTCTACTCTGATTGGCAATCACATGGGAGTCCTATAGACACCACCTCCTTCAAGACTCAATCTTGCTAGAGCACACATCACCATGATGATCCTCTATCATAAAAGTATTTCATGTGCTGAAAAGAAACTTCTTTGTTGCTCTGGATGCACTAAGTAATGGTAGTCTTTTTTCCCTTGGCTGCAGCTGCAGTGAGATATTCCTCAATGAACTTTACATTATCAGCAAAATTCTGATGTCTAGGAAAGGTATTATTCTAGAACTTACAAGTATATCTGAAAATGAACCACTTCCGTTAACAAATCTTTATCTTAAATTCTTTGCTCTGCAGAAAATGCCATTTCCTGCAAAGCTTTAATTTCACAATACAAAAACCCCAGAGAGTACGGAAAAGAAAAATGGTCATCCAGAGAAAGCGGCATCTTCAATGACAGTATTTGTGGTCATTACAGTAAATTTTCTCCTTCCTAACTACTCTGAGGTATTCCCAGATAGCTTGAATTTACATGGAGTAGCATGTTGGCTCCACAAGTTAACAATAGAATTTGACAGATATTGTATTAAAAAACCCTTTTTGAACTTTTACTGCCTTTGACTGAGTCTGGGTTAAAATAAAGAAAATAGAAACAAGTTTTAATATAATCAAGTCTTTATTTAACACAATGCAATCAAGGTTCAATATAACATTTAGATGAATGTTTTTGTTTGCGTTTTCAAGAGAGGGATATCTTTATGCATGCTCTCTCAACACTCTACTTTTAGCTCACAGATACAGAAGTTGACAGAAGTTAAGCTAAAAGCTAACTAAGACTTGGCTCAGAAATCTGTTTCTAACATTTATATCCATCTGTAAGTAAATTTGAATCATAATCTCGTGTTTAAGTCTGCATAAAATCTATATGAAACAAAGAAAGCATTTTAATATATACATATGCTTCTAATAATGGCTGGAGACGGCTTGAATGGGCAATGAAGCAAAACTTTAATATAAGTTTAACATAACAGCAAGTGTACAACGTTTCGACAAGGTTTTGTCATCATCAGGTACAAGTAATTTACACTGACACGGGTATATACAGCATTGAACAAAGAAGTCACATGACCGGAACTGTTGTGAAACTAGAAAAGGTATTTAGGCACCCCGGGTGTTGGTTTAGAGTAGGGTTGTTTTGTTCAATTAAGATGGATTCATTGATTTTTCGTTTGTTTATGTTGGGTTCTTTGTTTAAAATGACCGTGTTTTTAATAGATATACTATGGTTTTT